GTAAGTCACTAAGCGGAGAGGTCTGGACGCCAGTTCAACCACCAAACATGGGGTCAAATCACGGCACGATCGTGGAGATGTCTGTCTTTAAAGGCTTTAAATTGTGGTCCCTTTCAGAGTTAATTGTACTATTCCGACGCTGTCGAAGAGTAAAGCAGTGAGAGGAAAATACTGCATTGTTCTCCCAGGTGAGGGAACCTTTGAAAAAAGGCAGCAGGCCTATTCATAGTCTGATATACACAGCCGTTCTTAGTGTCGTCACGCAACGCTCCTTCCCACTAAAAAACGGGCAAGTAATTCATGGCAGTCTCCATATAGACTCCCTGATATGTTATCTCTTATACCTTGTATACCACTATATATCTTATGTGTACCCATGTTTACCCTAGTAATACTGTATACCCTGTATACCTCTATATAACCTGTTTACCCATGTTTACCCTAGTAATACTGTATACCCTGTATACCTCTATATAACCTGTTTACCCATGTTTACCCTAGTAATACTGTATACCCTGTATACCCCTATATATCTTGTTTACCCTTGATTACCCTAGTAATACTGTATACCCTGCATACCCCTATATATCCTGTGTACCCATGTTTACCCTAGTAATACTGTATACCCTGTATACCCCTATATATCCTGTTTACCCTAGATTACCCTAGTAATACTGTATACCCTGTATACCCCTATATAACCTGTTTACCCATGTTTACCCTAGTAATACTGTATACCCTGTATACCCTTATGTATCCTGTTTACCCATGTTTACCCTAGTAATACTGTATACCCTGTATACCCTTATATATCCTGTTTACCCTTGATTACCCTAGTAATACTGTATACCCTGTATACCTCTATATAACCTGTTTACCCATGTTTACCCTAGTAATACTGTATACCCTGTATACCCCTATATATCCTGTTTACCCTTGATTACCCTAGTAATACTGTATACCCTGTATACCTCTATATAACCTGTTTACCCATGTTTACCCTAGTAATACTGTATACCCTGTATACCCCTATATAACCTGTTTACCCATGTTTACCCTAGTAATACTGTATACCCTGTATACCCCTATATAACCTGTTTACCCATGTTTACCCTAGTAATACTGTATACCCTGTATACCCTTATATATCTTGTTTACCCTTGATTACCCTAGTAGTACTGTATACCCTGCATACCCCTATATATCCTGTTTACCCTAGATTACCCTAGTAATACTGTATACCCTGTATACCCCTATATAACCTGTTTACCCATGTTTACCCTAGTAATACTGTATACCCTGTATACCCTTATGTATCCTGTTTACCCATGTTTACCCTAGTAATGCTGTATACCCTGTATACTCTTATATATCCTGTTTACCCTTGATTACCCTAGTAATACTGTATACCCTGTATACCCCTATATAACCTGTTTACCCTTTATTACCCTAGTAATACTGTATACCCTGTATACCCCAATATAATCTGTTTACCCATGTTTACCCTAGTAATGCTGTATACCCTGTATACCCCTATATATCTTGTGTACCCATGTTTACCCTAGTAGTATTGTATACCCTGCATACCCCTATATACCTTTTGCACCCATGTTTACCCTAATAGTACTGAATACCCTGTATACCGCTATATAACCTGTTTACCCATGTTTACCCTAGTAATACTGTATACCCTGTATACCCTTATATATCCTGTTTACCCTCGATTACCCTAGTAATACTGTATACCCTGCATACCCCTATATATCCTGTTTACCCTTGATTACCCTAGTAATACTGTATACCCTGTATACCCCTATATAACCTGTTTACCCATGTTTACCCTAGTAATACTGTATACCCTGTATACCCTTATATATCCTGTTTACCCTTGATTACCCTAGTAATACTGTATACCCTGTATACCCCTATATAACCTGCTTACCCTTGATTACCCTAGTAATACTGTATACCCTGTATACCCCAATATAATCTGTTTACCCATGTTTACCCTAGTAATGCTGTATACCCTGTATACCCCTATATATCTTGTGTACCCATGTTTACCCTAATAGTACTGAATACCCTGTATACCCCTATATAACCTGTTTACCCATGTTTACCCTAGTAATACTGTATACCCTGTATACCCCTATATATCCTGTGTACTCATGTTTACCCTAGTAATACAGTATACCCTGTATACCCCTATATATCCTGTTTACCCATGATTACCCTAGTAATACTGTATACCTTGTATACCCTTGTATATCCTGTTTACCCATGTTTACCCTAGTAGTACTGTATACCCTGTATACCCCTGCATATCTTGTGTACCCATATTTACCCTAGTAATACTGTATACCTTGTATACCCTTGTATATCCTGTTTACCCATGTTTACCCTTGTCATACTGTATACCCTGTATACTTGTGTACCCATGTTTACCTTAGTAACACTGTATACCTTGTATACCCTTGAATATCCTGTTTACTCATGTTTACCCTAGTCATACTGTATACCTTGTATACCCCTATATATCCTGTGTACCCATGTTTACTCTAGTCATACTGTATACCCTGTATACCCCTATATATCTTGTGTACACGTTTACCCTAGTAATACTGTATACTCTGTATACCCCTATATATCCTGTGTACCCATGTTAACTCTAGTGTCTCTGTATACCCTGTATACCCTTGCTTATTCTGTTTACCCATGTTTACCAAAGTCATTCTGTATATTAGCGGAGAATTCTTCTCAAGACCACCACATAGCATATACTTATCGACGAACTCCACTTCTTGGTTTGGAACCTGTGCTATCTGATTGGATTAAGTCAGTCTTTTGTGACCAATAGAACCCAAGCTGTGTGTATAGGTAATATCCTGTCTGAGTGGAAACACACCCATGGTGACATACCAGGAACTAAGATGGGCGTCCCCCTGTTCTCAATTTAGATAAATGGACTCAATACTAGATACGTCCTACAGTTTTCATTAGCGATTTGAATTTTGCTTGTTAGAGACAGGCGCATTTTTTTATTGAACATAAGATGAAGTTAAATCATAAACAAATGGTTATAAATTTCTGAAATATCCCAATAATACCCTACAGCCTATTTGCTTTGGAAACCATCAGTTAGAGCGGCGTGTTTCGACATGTAAAAAACTTGGTGTAAAAATTAGGCTTGATCTTGCATGGAACTACCACATTGATTATATTTATGGTAAAGCCGCCAAATGATTGTATTCCTTAATTTTGCTTAAAAGAGCTGTTGTAGCTGGCAGAAATATTCCCAATATTATAAGTGCTCTGTGAGATCATTTATACTTGCATATGCTGTCCCGGCATGGCAAGATATTCCTGAGACCTTAACTGTTGTTCTTATAAATAAAACGAATTCTCGATATTTTGAGGGCGTTTTTAGTAAAACAATTACTCTCCTTGCGCTTGTTGGATATGACATTATTAAAGCAAATTCGTCGCTACGCGCCTGGTTGCCTACAACCATCTCATTGCATACACGTATTCGTGGAATAATTGTTAAATCTCCTGTTTAGTTATACTCTGCAATATTCTGTTTACCCATGTAAACTCTAGTATTCTGTATACCATGTTTATCCTGTTTACTCATGCACACCCTATAACGGTTGACTCTATGACAATATGTCGATATGGCAAGAAACCAGTGTCCGTTGTAGGCATTAGTGGGTAAGTGTGAAATAAAGATGTATTTATTTCTTGGGCGATTATCCGTGGAGCGGCGTCTGACCTAACTGAATCATTGAAACAAGCATACTTCAGCGTACAGTTGGTATAATTAAACAAAAAATATTAATTGAAATTGAAATACGCTATTTGTAAGAGTAAATGTTAAACACGGTTGCTGTTTTCAGGGGGTAAAACAAAAGAAACATAAAAAAAGAAGATGAGGATGACAAAGAAGAAGATGATGATGATGAAGTTGTTGTTTCCAAAATCACATGTCCTGATTGAACAAAATTAGCTATCACGACTTTTGCTTGTCGATGGAGAGTATAGAACGAATCTTCCAGCTCTGCTCCATTTTATAAGGGAATTTTTTTTTGATAATCTATACTAACAGTTTCCACTTTATATTCAGTCAGATGGAAACATAGACCACAATGTATGATCAACGAAGTTTATTGGTTAGCAGATCAAACTGTTGGCTAGCCCCGATCTGACTGAAAGACTGAGTGATCTGAAAGGCGATTTTATTTTACTAGGCAACTGACTACTACACAGACAATTAAGGGGTGTGTTGCCCATTGCCCATCACATCCTCGCGTGATTTTGTTGCCTTACAAGAATAATATGACTTTCACACAATAAGCCTTTAAAATTATTATTTGGATTCTTAAAACAATGTAAATTGTTTCAAAAGCTATTCTTTTTTCTAAACATAACGGCCGAATTCAAGATTGCTCAATGTTTACTATATTTCTCTTGTGGATGGTACCATTTGATACGGTAATAGAACAATCAGTCTGAGTTCCCTTGGTTATCAAGAACTGAAATACCATAATAAAGATTCTTTAGAGCTAAATGTTTTTTTCTTACAAATTCCAATTTTCCTTGAATTTGCCTCTCTGTTTTAGAGGTCACTGTAAACTGTATATTATTTCCACGCAGACCCTTGCTCACAAAATTATACAATATGGATATATTTCTGTAACTTGGGATGACACACGTGTTCAAAATGAATGACTCAACGGAGTCTAACAGACAGCTCTCTTCGAGTGTCCATGGTCCGGGCTGCAAATCAGATCCCTCCTCCTCCAGGATAGCTGCTGTTCGCCGCCTCTTCAATGATGGTGGTGTAGAAGTTATTCTCTTCTTTTTCTCTGCCTTACAATCGTCTGTGCTGTGAGTAACCCTTATTCCATATCTATTTTCACAGTTGAAACATGAACAGAGGATAGAGCAAGGTTTACCATTGGAGTAGCAGGGACATTTTGTTCGCCTCTGACCACTTACATCTATGCAAGAGGTTTGACCTGTTTTCCGTCCTTTAGCCCTGCTTTCTCCACACCGGCATGACAGTTTTTGGGGATTCTGACTGCGATTGTCGCAGTTGCGGCACTTGCACTGAGCTTGGCACTTTTTTTGTTAGAAACACACGGGCAAAGAGATTTTTCAGTTGAAACACAAAAGCGCTCACTTCTGGATTTTGCCTTCCGTCCACAATGTAACTGGTATTTACAACTTTTGATTTTACGGCTGCCCATAACGCAGTTCCTTGAGTTGACAGACTTATCCCTGTTAAATTTACCATTCACTTCAACTTACCATTGGTTATGCTCTCCGTAGCATCGTAATGGCGTGCCCCAAAATAATGGTAAGCAATATAGATTGGGGTGTTACTCAAAGGATTATCGCAGTTGAAGGGCAAAAAAGGAATTGTTTCAGAAGACGTTATCACCATAATTGGAACTTGCAAGATATTTGAACACAGTCTTATTACAAAGTCGCCAATTTCTTGATCAAAAAAACCTCTTACGCTAAACTCGCGGGCTTTCCTTTCAACATCTGCCTGGGAACCTTCGACGAAGTTTGAGATACCGCAGTCGTCAGCTAAAACTGCATCTACAAATAGTTGTCGAAGAGTGTACGTATCCAGGTCTTCAGTATTTAAAAGTCCTAGACGCCTCAGGTGCTCTGATAATTGACCTGCCTCATTGTGGACAAGTTTTCTTACTTGTCTCATTATTGTACGGAAGGCACAGTCCCCATCAGATTGGACTCTATCCAGCTGCAGGTTGAATGTGGCTAAATGCCGTTTAAGCGTCTCACTATGGCTGTTGATCGTTGGGTCGTCGGTGTCAATGTTGTCTTCAGAAGTAAGAAGTTTTGTCATTTTGCTGAGATGAACAATGTCAAGAGCATTAAAAGAACGATCATTGTTTTTCTCTTTTACTTTCTTTATCATTTCGGAAAGGTTATACGTTGCACTTATTAGAGCCGCTGCAATCGATTCCTGACAGAGATCTTCAATGGTTTCAACCATTATAACAAAAGGATTATTCGAAGCAAATGAGTTTTCGGAAATCTGGAAAATTTTTCCATCCTCTACATCTAACTCTGTTGAAAACTGAGGCTGGTGAACTTTATCATCAACTGACTCTGTTTCAAATTCAACATTTCCAGTTAACGCATTACAGCTGGTGACATTAGTTTCGACTGGGGCCACAGGCTTGATTTTTGAACTACAACAATGTTTTTCTGCAGATATTTTTGGATTGTGATGGTAGAATAATAGAGTCAGCAATGCTATTGCTAGTTGGACGGAAAGAGTAGTGGCTCCAGAAATCATCGACCTGTTTAAAAGTCTGTGCAATCCCTCGTTTCTCTCTGTACCACATCCTGGAGGTATTTCTGATAAACAGCCTTTCTGTATATGCCTGCGTAGATTTTCAATTTCTATAAAAGTTGCTTCTGTAAGAGGGCTAAAGGGAACATTGCTCCAGCGTTCTATAAACGAGTTAAGATTTTTTTCCATCTTTTCCTTGTACACAGTGCTTTTAAGTCGTTTCTCGCCTTGGTCATCGTCGTCACGAAATATTTGAACAAAAGATTTTGACACTTCTTTGTGAAGAGCATTTTGTCGAGAAAATGTTCTTGTTATTCTTTGACATGCATGAAACAGATCAAGTTTGACAGAGACGTTTAGAAAAATATTGCTGTACTTGCTGCTAACATGACAGCAATCATCCACCCAAACAAGCTTTAATGAGTTTCCAGAAAAAGACATCCTCTTCTTGAGTTGGATGAGCAGGTCTTCAATTTCATTGAAGGACGTTGACTTTGCAAATTTCCATGCCACAACTTCCCCACGTTCATTTAAGCAAATAAATAATTGGTGAAACTGGGTTACAAATTTGTTATCTTTCTCCCTGACGAACCCGATATTGCGACTTATTTTAAAGGTGTGATCACAAGACAAAGATGAAACTGTCAATCGGTTCATCTCCTCATCGTAAATCGCCCTGTTTTTTTCAAAATTGTGGAGGAAAATCTTCATTATCTGGTCATTGCTCGGAAAAGAATATAGAGGATTATTGTGGAACTCAGCGATGTCTGGTACGCTGCACATATTACCTTTGCGTGCACTGAAATATATCCTTCTTCTTTGAAGATACTGGCGATAGTTTAAAGACGCCAAGCCTTCGCTTATTTTGAGAAAGCTAACTCCCTCTAAAATTTGGATGTCAAAGAAATGAACCATAGCTTTGGAAACACCACATCTCTGGAAAATCTCTAGGGGGAAAAATTCTTGAATGTATCCTGGAAGCAGATTATGAACATCGGGCGTGGTCGCCCACAATTTGTGTCCTTGTCTATCATTTCCACACCTGTAGATTCTCTGTACAAGAACGATATCTTCCATGAAATCATAGATTAGCCTAGCTTTTTCTCCACCTTTTCCAGAAACGCATCTTGTCCACTGGTTTGGATGTAGATCGTTACCATGCAAAGGACAATTGAGAGCAATCTGAAACTGTTCTTTGGGAGCTCCAGAGCATTACTTTAGGTAAGAAGTAATCTTCTATTGGGGATGCAGGAGATGGTAGAGGGGGAAAGATAATAGGACAGTGGCTAAAGTGTTGTGAATTTTCATCAAATTTTTTGATTAATTCATCAACATACTTCTGGGCTCGCTCTCCCAAGCTAATCCCTGCAACAGTACTGCAATAAACACAGAGAATAATGACAGCAACAGCTGTTACAAATTCCAGTTTCCAATCTGAAAGTAAAAAATGCAAAACGATGATAGTCAGTTCGACATGATGGTATCAGTGGCGCTAAAACGATATTGCAAATGTTTATAACAAAGTTATTACAACCACAATTCAAAATATTCCCTGTTCCTGATTGAGTTACGACCCCCTCCCCTAGAACAAAATCAGCTACCGTTGATTTAATTTTAGAAGCCAAAGATAACTACCGTAAATGATAACGAGCAAATTTGAAAACTTGCACGTGCTACAAAAGAAGATAAACACGCGTGCGCTCTTACCGGACACGAGACCTAGTCGCCCTATTATGGCTGTAAATATGTAAATATTTTTCATGTAAATATATAAAAAAAATACATTCGTAGAGAAAAGAATGAAAAAAATAAAATAAAACAAAAATAACAACAAGAATGAATGTACAACACTTACTTGACATTTTTGTCATGTTCCGGTACTTGTTTTTTAAAATGTGTTCGCTTTTTGTTTCAGAGGTTCTCGCGAATCTGACCATAAAAGAACTTTTAATTTTTAGTTGGAGATAACTCTTCTTTTTGACTATATAATCCAGTAACGCGACTGTTTCAGTGCCTCAGAAGATAGAACCTTGGAGAAGGAGCCAACAGGCGCCTCGTAGCGAAAACATGGGTACAGGGGTAAACATGGGTACACAAGGTATATAGGGGTCTACAGGGTATACAGTACTATTAGGGTAAACATGGGTACACAAGGTATATAGGGGTATACAGGGTATACAGTACTATTAGGGTAAACATGGGTGCACAAGGTATATAGGGGTATGCAGGGTATACAGTACTACTAGGGTAAACATGGGTACACAAGGTATATAGGGGTATACAGGGTATACAGTATTACTAGGGTAAACGTGGGTGCACAAGGTATATAGGGGTATGCAGGGTATACAGTACTACTAGGGTAAACATGGGTACACAAGGTATATAGGGGTATACAGGGTATACAGTATTACTAGGGTAAACGTGGGTGCACAAGGTATATAGAGGTATGCAGGGTATACAGTACTACTAGGGTAAACATGGGTACACAAGATATATAGGGGTATGCAGGGTATACAGTACTACTAGGGTAAACATGGGTGCACAAGATATATAAGGGTATACAGGGTATACAGTATTACTTGGGTAAACATGGGTGCACAAGGTATATAGGGGTATGCAGGGTATACAGTACTACTAGGGTAAACATGGGTACACAAGATATATAGGGGTATGCAGGGTATACAGTACTACTAGGGTAAACATGGGTACACAAGATATATAAGGGTATACAGGGTATACAGTATTACTTGGGTAAACATGGGTACACAGGATATATAGGGGTATACAAGGTATACAGTATTACTAGGGTATTCATGGGCCGGGTACACAGGGGTATACAGGGTATACAGTATTTTTAGGGTAAACATGGGTACACAAGATATATAGGGGTATACAGGGTATACAGTACTACTAGGGTAAACATGGGTGCACAAGATATATAAGGGTATACAGGGTATACAGTATTACTTGGGTAAACATGGGTGCACAAGGTATATAGGGGTATGCAGGGTATACAGTACTACTAGGGTAAACATGGGTGCACAAGGTATATAGAGGTATGCAGGGTATACAGTACTACTAGGGTAAACATGGGTACACAAGATATATAGGGGTATGCAGGGTATACAGTACTACTAGAGTAAACATGGGTACACAAGATATATAAGGGTATACAGGGTATACAGTATTACTTGGGTAAACATGGGTACACAGGATATATAGGGGTATACAAGGTATACAGTATTACTAGGGTATTCATGGGCCGGGTACACAGGGGTATACAGGGTATACAGTATTTTTAGGGAAAACATGGGTACACAAGATATATAGGGGTATAGAGGGTATACAGTACCATTAGGGTAAACATGGGTGCACAAGGTATATAGGGGTATACAGGGTATACAGTATTTTTAGGGTAAACATGGGTACACAAGATATATAGGGGTATACAGGGTATACAGTATTACTAGGGTAAACATGGGTGCACAAGGTATATAGGGGTATGCAGGGTATACAGTATTACTAGGGTAAACATGGGTACACAAGGTATATAGGGGTATACAGGGTATACAGTATTACAAGGGTAAACATGGGTACACAGGATATATAGGGGTATACAATATTGCACTAATATATTAGGGAGTCTATATGGAGACTGCCATGAATTACTTGCCAAAAAACGGCTGTGTAGCAGACTAGCCTATCCACGGATGCGGCAAAAAACTGTAATATTGCTTGTGTAGGTTCGCCGAAATACTTCATACAAAGCAATCTCATCAATCAGGTTGGACTCGAGTAATAGGGAAAATCTTAGCTCTCAACCAAAACACACTTCGATACCGAGAAGAGTTATGTGCCTAGTGGGATCATTTCCAGTACTGGCTATTGAAGTACGGGACGCGTACATCGTCTTGTATTTGCTATTCATACGAGATTCCGACTAAACTGATTAGGTCTATTTAAGCACTGACTCGAAACGGTTAGCCTCTAATTAGGGTTACGGTTGTTGTTATTATATATGAATAAAATCAAACTCCACCGTAGCGAGTTACTACTCCGCGGTAGAGTGGTTACGCTACGAATTATGGATTCTACGCCCCTGGATCGGTTCTCAATCTTAATTGCCACATCGAATTTTTCTTCTTTTCAAAATTTGCCACTGAAATTTTTCCTTAAAAATGGAACAGTGGTTGAAGAGACTTACACTTTCATGGAAATTTGTTGATCAGAAATTTCAAGAGACTTAGAAATTTCATATTAATTTCAAGTAGAGATTTGATCCTGTATGTCATGGCAGATACACGTCGGTGTACGGGTCCTGTACGAATAGCGGCACTGTGTCAATGTAATGAAGCAACTGCATGTTGTCAATAACAGTGATCTTCTCATATTTTAAATGCAACTCTGATTTTAAAAGATAAATGGCAGACACTGAGACAGCCCTACTAAAAAATAATTTTCTATATTAATTTTTTTTAACAGGATCATTTTTTTATTAAGCACACTAGACATTCCTCGTTATAGTTAGCAATAAAATTTCTTACACTGGGACTTTCAGCGTCGGTGAACATTATACTTTTGCATTATCTGTGTAATTTAAACGCACAAGCTATTTTGCTCTTAGAAAGCTTCCAAATGTTTCCTATTTTTCTATCCAATAAAAAGTGCAGACTTGAACATGTGGTTAACAAGTTGATGAGTTGCTTGATTACTGAATTTCTCTGGATTTTCTCATACAAACTGCATGGTATTCTATCTAACTCCATGGGCACGCTATGGCATTCCATGGAACTCCATGGGCACCCTATGGCATTCCATGGAACTGCATCGGTACTTCAGGGAACCCCATGGCATTCCATGGAACTCCACGATATTCCATGGAATTTCATGGCATTCAATGGAACTCCATCACTACTTCATGGAACTCCGTGGAACTCCATGGCATTCCATGGAACTCCATGGATACTCCATGGAACTCCATGGCATTCCATGGAACTCCATGGCATTCCATGGAACTCCATGGATACTCCATGGAACTCCATGGCATTCCATGGAACTCCATGGATACTCTATGGATACTCCATGGAAGTTCCGTGGAATTCCATAGTGGATTTCCATCTATTTCCATGGAATTCCATGGATTTCCACAGATTTCCATGGATTTCCATGGATTTCCATGGAATTCCATGGAGGTATTTCACACGGGATGGTGTCACTTTTCTTGTCAATGGGTTTTAGCAACTTGCGGGTTGGGGTGGGGATACAGGATCTTAAACTCCAGCTGCACACTTGCAAAATTCATGTAAACACTCTAAAATTTTTCGGTAATTAAGGAATCCTTAAGATATATAAACAAGCAAAGGGCAAGCAGATGTCTGAATGCAACAAAGACAGGAAATAAACTATATATTAGCTAATATTAAGCACTGCTGCTGTCAAATTTCTATGGTTCAAGCTGATGATCAGCACCCGCAGCTTTTTCAAAGGTAACAACAAGTGATTCTTACAGACAAGCTTACATGAAACTGTATCAAGATGGAATTTTTTTAAAACAATAGCTTTTTTTTGCAGCTGATATAAAATGAAATGAAAAGGTTTCTTGTATTAGTCCTGTAGCCAGTTGCCTGTAATTCTGTAGGGTCAGTCAGTAAATTTGCAGGTGAGGTTTATTGATGTGCTCAGATAACAGATGCTAACAGTGACACTTGTACTGTTTTTCCTTTCATCAACATTGCTGCCTACATACAAAAATATTATAAGAAAACATTAAAACTTGCATCGCTCATTCAATTAATAGCCTGTCTTCTATAAACAGCCTAACTTTAATTATTTTGTAACAGTATTTTACAATTTAGCTTTTAATCTTTCTTTGGATTTCATAGCTTGAAATAATATTATAATCACACTCTGTGAATCATGTATTAAGTGGTCACTCACAAGAGGTTAAATAATCATATAAAACCATAAAGCTATCACCCAAGGTACAAGATGTTTGATCATAGCAGTTTTTGTTTCATACAAGGGAAATTTTGGTGAATGCTGTAAATCCTCTCCTTAAGCCCCAGCCCCTCCCATCTTTTATAAGTCTCTCTCTCCTTATTCTTCACAACCAAATTGCTAACCTCCTGCATTTATCTGCATCCCCCGCCCTGACCACAAACATGCTTGAAATAAATTACGGGGGCGTAACTAGAGGATTTAAAGTAGGTGGTCACTTAATACAGGAGATTGTCACACAAGATTCTAATGGCCCACAGTCAATATATAAAAATTCTTAAATGACTCCAAGGCTTTAGGGGCAAAAATTGTTAATTTTTCACAGCTCCATTGTCTCGCAATTCCCACTGGAGACTTGAGCTCATAGAAGACCAAACCAAATATAGAAAAATGACCAGAAAACCGTGGAGTCATGTTAGAATTTTAATATATCGAACTTGGTCTGTTATGTATTTAAATATTTTTGAACAAAATAAAGAAAAAAAAAATGGAAACTTCTTTGGGTGAGGAATTTGACTCTGGCTTCAAGGAAATGGTTTAATTCTCTGGGGGTAGCCTATGCAGAGAGGGCTAAATGCATGCATGGGCGATATTTAGGGTTGCATTTGCACTGATGAGTTACTGGAATGGGTTTACACAGTTTTACATTATATTACTTCAGAAATATACACAAAATAAGTAGATTTATAATTGACTAGTGAGGGGTTTGGTTCTTGATGAATTAGAAAGTAGTAAAATACAGGCCAGATAAAAACCAGCAGCATTCAACTCAGAGAGTGACAAAAAGTAAGCTTTCTATATCAATAATTTTGTATTATTGATCTTTTTTAACGTACCGTTCTCTTGTAGCTTTTGTCTTTCACTTTGAACCTGGCTGGCTATCCCCTATAGTCGTCTTCTCAAACGAATGACTGAATTGGAGATGAGAGAAAACACCGCAGAAAACTATCACCACTCATCCCAGCCAGCAGTTTTTTTTAACCCGCAAAATTTCCCTGATGTCAACCTCAGTTACTCCTTCAACGGTTACCTTTTCAATAACAAACAGAGGGTGTTGTTTAAAATGATAGTTCCGTTAGACGTTCTTCAAACTGAATTCTCCACGCAAGTATTAATGCTGTCCGATCCGGCTCCCACGGTCATCAGCCTTGATCAGCCATGTTCGCCTCACCTTTTATTTCCGGTTTGTTTCCTTTGTGTTTCAAAGCCAATCAAAACAAGCCCTTGAGTTGGAACCAACCAGAGCTCTCGATCCCTGCCGCTGACCAAAAGGATCGAAGCTCTGGGAACTAGAATGGCTCAGTTGTATGCCGTGTTAAATTTCATCCTACGCACACAGCGGGTGAACATGTTATCAATCAAATGTCATTGTGGTGCTTTAATCAGGGGAATGGGATTTCAGCCTATTTATGGATGTTCGTTGAAACCAGTCATGAAATGTATTTTACTGAAACAAGTAGATGAATAAACAAAACATCTTACTTTACAGAACTCAGTCGTTTAATTGTTGCAATTATCTAGGGTGATCGTCTAAGTATTTTTTACTCATTTGAGTGGTTTCCGTCCTTATCATGTCATGCGTTGTCGACTCAGGAATCTAAAAATTTGTCATAATTTATGCGTCGTACTATTTTTAGCACGGTACTCGATTCGACACTTTATCCTCTATCGTTACGGCATGTAGATATATATTTTAAACAACTACTATAATTTACAGTCTATCCACTTTGAATTCATCACTTATAAATCACAATGAGATTTTTTTCTCGTTTTATACTCCTCAGCCTGGAGTCAATTATGAATTTTAATAATTCGAAACTAGCCTATTAGCCTGTTCGGCAGGCCTTTCCAATGTGCAAAGGTCAATCGAAACTGAATTTATTATTATTGACAGTGGAACGTTTTCCGTTGGAATTAGTTCTCTTATTTTACACTGAGTGTGGAATGGGGAAACACTATGGCGGTATATTTGCTGATGTTTTTTATAATTATCCTTTGCCTTACAGAGCGTTCTGGTAAAGTAGAAATTCTGTGCCTGTATAAACTATTACTTAGTTAAAACGCCGGTGTCGGGCGGTTTTATTAAGTTTACGCCATTTTCGCTTTAGTGGCTTAGTGCTTTCGAGTCTATCTGCTATAGGCCCGGCACACTGAGCTAACCCTGCAATTGGAATACGAAGTATAATTTCTCCTCGTATGAATTTTGCAGTGTTTGGATGATTTGAAGCATGATAATTGATGTGAATTATTAGCCCATAATCGTTGTGGCTTACGAGTTGATTCGATATGCATGGCTTTATTGACTGTACCGTGAATTGTCTAACACGGAAAGAAAATGTTATAATAGTGAAGTAAATGTATCTCGGGTAGCCTATATATTCTAATAGAAGGAGCATGCATTATTCTAGTGAAGTATTGCTGGAGCAGAAGACTTTGAGTGCCCTGGAACTTCTTAAATTGGCGATTGGTAATCAACAGCTTTTAGACAACTACTTGTGCCACAATGTCAGGTCTAGTAGCGAAAAGGCTTACAGTCAATGGAAAGCTTCTATCGACTTTCTCTCAAGCTCGTCAACTATGCAATCAGGAAAGTGAATAACCTTAAGTCCTCACCATTTGAATTAGCCTACATTTTTTTGCCTTTCTGATCACAATTACGAAAGAACAAACACCAAAATAGAGAAATTTTGTGACACGTTTACGGTTCACGGCACTCGTGATATTCGGTTTGAAATTAGGGATCATTGGAGAATAAGCAGCGCCAATGTTGAAGAGACAGGAACGTCACAATGAAGGAACTCTAATAGCTTTTATAACAACAAATCGCTTTCACAACAAGATGGACGCGATACGAACACACGAGGAGACCTAAAAGGTCTGAACCGAGACGAAAGATTTAGTGCCATAACGTAGGGCACTGGTTGGTTACAAACGGACTATAGGCTAACAGTCACTGCATGATAAAACCAATCACTGCAGGATACCACCCGTACCAAACCAAACGCTATTTTAAACGTATTTTCTATATATATTTTGAAAACCGTTTTATTGTATTTGATAACTACATTTATCTGATGGGTACCAAATTATATTTTATTGGTGTTTTTTCTGCTTTTATTGGTGTTTGAAGCTGCTTTTAATGATGTTTTATCTTACTTTTATTGTTATTTTAACCTGTCTTCAATTGTGTCTTAACCTGCTTTTATTGGTGTTTTAACCTGTTTCTTAACCTGCTTTTAACTACTACGGTGGCCCAAAAAGGCAATACACAAATATATATTTTACTACTGCAATCTATATCTTAGTACACAAGCATATACATCGGTTGTGTGAGTATATATATCAGTACATAGAGAATATTACACGGTGGGAGAAGATATGAATTTTATGTTCGAGTGGCAAGAACAATATCTCACGAGTGAGCGCAGCGAACGAGTGAGATATTGCTCTTGCCACGAGAACATAAAATTCATATCTTCGAGCTAACGTGTAATATTCTTTTTATTATATAAACATACTGATGACGGCGTTTTTGATGATTTTCCGAAGATTTCCGATCACCTTCCGAAGATTTCCGAAGATTTTCAAATTGTCCCGAAGACCAGACGAACGTTCCCGAACATTTTCCGAAAAATTCCGAAGATGTCCGAAGATTGCCGAGCACTTTCGAGGAAGACCCGAAGATGTTTCGATGATACACCAACGAATTTAAATACAATTTAAGAGACAAACCGGATGTCAGTGAAATTATCGATATCTTCACATTTAAAAATATCGTATTTTTACGTGTGTTCAGATACCACATTTCTCGGTGGTAGAAATCCTTGTAAAACACTGCAGTTTATTTATTATATACATACTGAGAAATACTCACCAAAAAGCTACGTCGTAAATTTTCGTACGCAAATTAGTTCTAGCCAATCAGAGGAGCGAACGATGGTTTTCACACGTGAAAAAAATGATACGTCCAATCAGAATCGCGAACGATGTTTTTTCACGTGTGAGAAAAATGATACGTCCAATCAGAAGCCACAGAGGTGTGTGAGTTTCGCGCCAAAATTCCCGCCTTTTATTGCAGCTTGCAGCGCCGCTTCGCACACATTCAGCGAGAAAAGTTTTACTCAAAGAGTTTTTCTCGCTAAAAAAGCGAAAAACATTTCGGAAATGGAGTGGAATAGTTTCGTTTGTTTCACTGTCGATAAAGAAAACGGTAGAGAGCCGGCGAAACAACAGCGGAAAAGGATAAACAGAACGAGACGTAAGCTTTTGTTGTGCTTTTTGTCTGAGCTACTTTGCCTTTCATTTAAGCTTAAGTTTATATTGAAACCGGCCATTTTACTTAAATTTACTCATTTTTAATTGTGCATTGAGAACGAACAGTTAAGATTACTTATAGTTCTTGGATTACCTCATATCCTCACCGTCACTTATGTTTTTAACAAACGTTTTTACTAAAAAGCTGATACTTCGTTGTCGTTGTGATTTTGCGGTGAGTGTGTAGCGGCAAATTTTAGCATTTTTGAAAGATTTAAAATAAAAAGACCGCCAAAATGATGAATGTCTCAGTATGTATATAATAAACACAATACCACATGGAAAGTGCTTTGTACGGTATTTACGCACTCGTTGTTTTTGTATCAGAAATCTTACTCGTTCGCTACGCTCACTCGTTCGATTTCTGATACGTCAACAACTCGTGCGTAAATACCGTACGGCAGCACTTTCCATGAAGTATTCTCTATATAATAAAATAAAATATACACCAGTACAACAATATGCATCCCAGTACAGAAATGTTACTTTCAGTACAAAAATATAAACTCCAGTACAGCATGATATCTCCAAATTCTTAGAGGACAAATAACAGCTCTCAGTACAAAAACATACACGTTTCATTCATTCGTTTCCGCACATTTACGTTGGAAAGTGACGAAGACAAAGTCAAAATGGATAAAGTGCTGGAGCATTTTGACAATTACTGTGAGCCTCGTAAGAATACAATTTACGAGAGGTATTTATTCTTTTCGCGTGGGCAGGATAGTGGAGAGTCCATTGATAAATATGCCAGTTCTACGAGACATGACAGACTCTTGTGAATTTCAAGATTGGAAAGACTCCTTGATACGTCACTGCATCGTGTTTGGAATTGCTGATAACAACGTGAGAGAAAGTTTGTTGTGAGTCCCAGATTCAACGATGAATGAAACTCTAGAAATTGCACGAGCTACCGAAGCAACCCAAAGCCAATTGAAACAAATGCAAAACATGCACGAGGTTAACGCAGAGGGAAGAAGAAAGGAAAGTTCTTCTGAAAGAAACAGGAAGAGAAGAAGAACTCAGCAAATGGTAGTACTCATTAGATTGACTGGAAGTTTTGTATCAGGAAACATATACCAGACTTGCATGTACCAAGTGCTCTGCATATGGCTAACAGTGTAACAAGTGTGGAAAAAGCAACCATTTTGCTGCGAAGTGTACAGGAGGAAAACAGTTCACTTGTAATTTACATGTCAATCAGAATATGAATTATGTGCAGGAAGATTCAGATGAGAGTCAATGTGAACAGTATACTATAATAACTTATCAAGTCAGTGCTTTTGAACAAAAGAAGGTATAGAAGACATTGTAGATGACATACTCTGTGTTGGCGAGGGTGACACCTATGAAAGTGGGGTTAAGGATCGTGACAGAACCCTAATTGCACTCCTGGAGAGATGTCGTGAGAAGAACTTCAAGTTGAATCCAAATAAGTTACAGTTAGTCACAGAAAGCAAGAAGCACCCTACCTTAGTCATGTACTAACCCCTGATGGCCTCAAGCCAGATCCAAGTAAAGTCAAGGCAATTGTGGCAATGCCTATCCCTTCAGACAAGAAGGCCCTACAAAGGCTGCTTGGAATGATTACGTATTTTGCAAAATTCCTGCTTAACGTATCTAATGTGACGGAACGGCTGAGACGTCTGTTAGACAAAGATGTCCTATGGCACTGGAACGAGACACACGCGAAATCACGGAAGCAAGTGAAACAGTTGATCACAAGTATTTCGACCACAGTAAAGATGTAATTCTTCAGTGCAATGCATCAGAATCCGGACTTGGTGCTGTCACATTGTAAGAGGGTAAGGCTGTAGCATTCATGTCAAGAGCACTTACGAGAACTGAAAGAAATTATACTCAAACACAGATGGGGCTGCTCAGCACAATTCACGGATGCACACGTTTTGACCAGTATGTTTATGGTAGACCTTCAATATAATGTACAAGCCAGGAAAGAAACTGTTCATTGACGATACGCTCAGTCAAACATTCCTTCCCCATAAGCCGAGTACAGAAGAGTTGAAGTCGGAGGTGTTAGGAGTCAAGCGTGAAGAATATCTAATCAAATCTATTGAAGAAGTCAGCATGGTCGAGTTTCTGCCAATCACGAGCGAACGCCTTGCTGATCTTGGAAGAAAAACTGAACTTGACGAAGGTCTTCAGCTGTTGAAACATATTATAAAGATTGGTTGGCCAGAAACCAAAGAAGAAATCAGGTGATATTTTGACTTCAGAGGAGAGGTCAGCATCCAAGATGGTATCCTCTTTAAAGCAAATCGTGTAATTGTAACTGTAGCCCTAAGGCCCTACATGATAATGCAAGTACACTCAAGCCACCATGGTATTGAAAGATGTGTAAATAAAACAAAAGATGTCCTGTTTTGGCAGGCTTCTAAATGTGAGACATGTAACGCCTATCTGACAGACCAACAGAAAGAACCATTCATACCGCATGATCCACATAAACGCGCTTGGTCTCATGTTGCAAGAGACCTTTTCAGTTTTGACAACAATGAATGGATCATCATCGTCGACCACTGGTCAGATTACTAAGAATTGAACCAATTATCTTGTACCAACTCAAGTTCTGTTATCAAGTCTCTCAAGAACCAGTTCGCTAGTCATGGCATACCTGATACTCTGTATTCTGACAACGGACCACTGTTTGCTTCCAGAAGGTTAAAAGAATTGCATCCGCCTGGCACTTTGACCACCAAACATCCTCACCACACTATCCACAATCGAATGGCAAGATAGAAAATGCTGTAAAGACAGCCAAGAAGTTTCTAATCAAAGCAAAGGCAAGTGGATAAGATCCATACTTGGCCATTTTAGACTGGCGCAATTCACCCACACCCTGTATTGGATCATCACCAGTCCAAAGATTGTTTGCAAGACGCACAAAGACACTGTTACCTACAGCATTTACTTTGTTACAGCTAAAGATCTTGGAGGGGACTGGAGGAAAGCTCAAAGAAAGGAAGATGAAGCAAGCACTGTTTTACAACAAGGGAACAAACGAGCTACCTGAGCTTCAACCCAAAGACACAGTGCGCAAACCGCTGCCAACAGACAATGACTAGTTGTGGAGAAAGGAATCGGTTGTCAAACAAGTAGAGCCTCGTTCCGGCCCACAAGGTAGATCTCCAAGGAACTGTGCTCAGGAGTAATAGAAGACACTTGCTAAAGACCAAGGAACCATCGTCACATAGGAGTCATTGAAAATCAGTAGTTTAGGTCTTAATTAATGAAAAGAAGGCAAGAAGTGTTCGTTAATGGCGTTGAATCTGATTTCCTTGAAGTAAGTCTAGAAGTACTCTAAGGGTCGCACGCAGGTCCGGTTCTTTTCCTAGTTTATATTTTAAATGATATTGTAAGTGCAACTAAGTACTTTTCAACATCACTATATGCCGATGATCCTTCGATAACTGTGACTGGTAAGGATTAAGACTTGCTGCCACGAATAAATTTTGAATTGCCAGCCATTGTTCAAATAGATTATCTCTGAATTCAAATAAAACAAAAAACTTGGCTTTCAACCGAGACTAAAAAGACAATTGTAACTTATAAATTCCTCTCAAATTTGCCGGCCATTACCTTAAGCAGTCGTGCAGCATTAAATATGAAGGATTACTTTTTGATTGCTTTTTTGTATTTAACAAGGATTTGGAAAAATTCTCACCGTAGCTGTTTTAGATAAAGGTGAAAATTTGTAATGATTAGGGTTACAATGACATCCTAGTTGTAAATGCTAGGTGTCCTGTGCACTAGGCCCAGTCTGCGCCGAGGTGTTGTCATTCGACACTAGGTCAAACCTCGGCATACATGTGCTTTTATCGCTTGTTATCATTACAGAAACGCGCCCATTCAAAAACGTCGATCGTGAAAATGCAAATAAGTGAAAAATGACGTTAATTTAGTGTCAATCAAGAAATCCCTTGGGTATATCCCTTTCCTGGTTATTGTTCCTGCTCAGACATCCGCAACATTTGCCTATTCTTCGATGAAGAATAGAACTTTACGCGACTAACAATAGCTCAGTCTGTTTAAAAACTGTCTAAATTTACTCCGAATTAGCATGTGACTTTTTGCTGTTAAACGCTTCAAAATTGAAAAATCCTCGATGATTGTTGTTGATTTTGCCGTAAATAATTCATTACACTGACTGAAAATGAATTTTTACTTTTTACAAACTTCTTGGTGTTCAAATCGATGGATGAAGTATGAGCGCAACCGATGCGTTAATAGTTTGTTTACATTTTGTCACGGGTTTTGGATAATATTATAAACTTTAAAATTTACGGGCAAATTCTAGCAAAGTATAAGGCAAAATTAAGAGCGATACTTTCTTTAAGAACGCGATAACTACATATTTAACGGCCAAACCTAAACAGCGATCTAATCCGTCTCTTGAAAACAACTACAATACCGCTTCTGATAATAATATTTATAAATGCTGCAAACATTTTTATTCAATCTTATCGAGTGATTTTCGTGAAGATGAGTTTTTAAGTGAAGAGTACTTTGGTTTCTGATTAGCTTTAACTATTTTGCCATCAAAACGATTCGCACAAGACTACCGAATTCGCGAGGGTTTTATGTTAGTGCACGAGGAAGAAAAATGCTTCTCTTTGCATAAACTTGAAGCACTGACAAAGACATTCCAACACTTAAAACAATGGCAACCTACTTCTATTGTTTCTGCATTGTCTCTTGAAAGTGTGAGAATAGTTAACCGCTAAGAAGTTCATAAGAGACCGAAAACGACGGTAGTCTTTGAAACTTCGTGTTTGCTCGCAAAGCCTAATGGGTACCCCACTTTTCACGGGCGACGTTTTTCAATGGGCGCGTTTCTGTAATGTTTTCGCCTTTATTTCTCGGATAAGGATCGTTTAACTAGACTCACATCGAAGGAATAGAACATTACGGAAGCATTACGGATATTTCAGCGGTTTTCAAGGTTACGGATAGAGACACTTGCTTGTTTGTAAGGATTTCTTGTACGGTATTGTATTCGAACGGTGTGCCGAGCGTAGTTGATCGGATCGAATAAAACGTGGAATTGACATCGAATTGACGGCTGTTACACTAGTTGTCATAGAAATGAAATGACGCCATCACTTATTTTAAAGACACTTGTTTATCGTTGTCATGGTAATATAGATTTACTTAAAACTAGATTTTGATAAAGTCAGTTCAAGGTTACTTAGTGCTGAAAATTTTATGGCGCTCGGACAAGGATAAGGTCACTTTTTAGGCGATCGAAACATGCCGGTACGGTCCCCGAAAAACTGTACAATGTTATACAATGTTTACAATGTTTTGATAAAAAAAAATATAAAAATCTACATATATGAAAGCTGTGATAATCACAGTTGGCACGCATTTCTTTTGAAAGGATTAAACGGTTTCAATTTTCTTTAGGTCAGTGGACACAGCTCGTTTCAATTTCTAATTATCCCCACGCTAAAAGTCCGGCCTACTTCTGTGGTTTTCTTAAACGTGGGACATTGACAAATGTAACCCGGAGTTGTTCCCTGTAAAGTAAATATTCAGGAGTAAGGGCTGGGATTTAGTTCTCCAAATCTTCTCGGAAAACCGCTGCTGCACGATGTGAACGACTTGTTCCAGTTCTCTGCCGTTACTGTTCATAACTTCCGTGTCGGCACGAAAAACTATTCGGTATAGTGTAAAATAGCCTAAAGGACATTCATTTTTTGATACCAGTTTCTAAAATACTTGAACTTGGAAGTTATAGTTCTTTACTTGTGGAATAGCAGTTTATCCAAAAATGCTATAAATACTTAAAATAATAGAAATTTTCGCCTTTTTCTTCATAAAATGTTTCATATCCACTGGAAATCCTCTGCCCCATTCCGCCGGTGTTAAATAAAGGCCTGTTTTACTTAATGAGCAACGATTTCGAAGGTCGAGATTTCTATCTAATAGGAAAACCCCCAAAACGTCGGCCCAACTTTAATGTTCGTTCAGAATACGATGGAGCTTGGCCAAAGGCGTGACCAAGCTAAATGCAATGCCTTTTGCCGAATCTTCGTCGCTTTTTAAACCCACAAAACGTCAGCATTTTTACCAGATCAACCCCAACGTTTAAGCTGGTTTGCTTTTCGCCAAGACCAACTGGCGTAAGGTGCAAATTCATCCTGACGTCATAACCAATTTTTTCGCATCGATAGGTTAGTAATTTCTATAGTAATAGAGTCTTTGCCTAAGCTACACATGCATTTTTCCTTATCCTTTTTGTAACTGTCAAATTGTGATTTCTCAATTGTACATGTAACAATGCTAATTGCTTCGCTTTTCAAAAGTTGAAACAGTCAAATAAATTTTCTCTCTTCACTGTCTTCGTGCCAATGCATTCGGCTTTTTTGGTATGGCATTTTTTGGTTAATTTAAAATGTCTCAGATCTTTTACTGTGGTAGTCATTTCCTATGCTACTGTTGTATTTATTGACGGAGAGTTTACTCCTGTTTTTTCTTTTTTCTTAGATGGTGCTGCCAGTTTTCAATCAAAGGCTTCAGATTCACCAGCAGTTGGCCTGGAATTTCATAACATAACTCTTTCATGGACCTACTCTCTTGGTGGTACATTTATAAGTGCGTCATTTAGTTTTGTCAATGTTACCAGTGGATTGACTGTGGGAATTGCACAAAAGGTGGCTGGAGGGAGCACCGACATATCCCAAGGCTTTAAAGAACGTTTTTTAGCCAGCATAGCAGATAGCGAGGCACATTTAACAATCCTGAGTGTACAGAGATCAGGCAAGGGAACATATCAATTTCAAGCTACTGCTACTAACTTTGGATTCCTATCAGACTCAGTTGATGTGGAAGTACAGTGTAAGTTATTTCTTTAGTTCATTGCCGTAAACTTTTCTTAACCCTTTGCCTTGACGGTTTAAGAGGAGCACAAAAGTACAATGTTTAGGGAAAAAGAGAAAGAAAATGCCATCGGCGTAAAAAATAATTCATGCCTAGAAATATTGGATACTGCCAGCGTGAACAAAATATTGTTACATAGACAGAATTAAAACTGAGGTTACCTCCCGGCTTATTCCAACGCGAAGTCTTAAATGTTCACCGCCATTCCTTTAGTAAACACTTTTGCGGCTCACACGAATAATGATGATACAATAGAGACCAGTTATGGCAATTCCCGAAAACAGCGTCACCCTGAGCTGTCCTAAAACGCTGTTACCAGAACAGTCAAGTCCAATACTGTCGACATGATACGAGTGGAAACTGCGTTTCACAACTTGTACGAGCGGACAAGTTGTCGAGTGGAAAATGCGTCTCATTAGTTGACTAGGGACGGCAACTAAGTTGTCGAGTCTTACGAGTGGACAAGTTTTCTCGACCCGAAAGACAGAGTTGTCGAACAGACGAGAAGGAACAAGCGCCCTACACACTGTGTATGCCACGTTAAGGAACATTCAAGCGCACTACACACTGTGTATGCCTCGTTCTGTAAGCAAATATCTGGCGTGAGCCACGTTAAGGAACATTCAAGCGCACTACACACTGTGTATGCCTCGTTCTGTAAGCAAATATCTGGCGTGAGCCACGTGAAGGAACATTCAAACGCGCTACAAACTGTGTATGCCTCGTTCCTTAAGCAAAGATTCGCCATCAGCCATGCCGCCAAGGAACAAGCGCTCTACACACTGTATATTCATTGTATTATAATTTTGGAGGCACGGAAGCGTCTAAATTTCGAACCTGGTTTGTGGCCAAAACTGCAAGACCAAGTTAGAAAATTTCTAAGTCCCCTCAATGATATGCATTTGTCCACCCGACAGTTTACTCTGTCAAGTTGACAAGCACATTCCCCACTGGTACGGCTCGTACGCCTCGACTACCATTACACGGGGTCTCTTGCCAACAAAACAAGCTAGAAAACTTCTAGGTCCCCTTAATCAGATGCATTTGTCCACTCTACAGTTTACTCTGTCCACTCGTATGATGTCGACAGTACTGGACAACCCTCTACCAGGAACACTTAGAACTATGTGTCACATTTGTTCACTGCAATGTTTCACCCATTGAAGCCTCACTTTAAGACTCAGTAAATCACATTTCTCTGGACTTTAAAATCGTTGCTGTTCAAAGGTTTCTTTTTCTCAAAATTTTGTCCTCTTGGGAACGTAATATGATATTCATACACAAATCTTTAACGTAGTCTTCCCGCAAACTCAAGCTTTTCTACGCCGTTTCCACGATCTGTCATTTTTTTGAGGGACCACAATAGGGGTTTTCAAATCCCACCTTGCCGCCTATTTTTTTTCTTATATCCCGCTATCCCTCCAATTTTTATGTACGAATCCCGATCCCGCCCTAATTTTGTCACGACTTTCTTGCTTGAACTATTGAAATAGACGTTATATGAGACTAATCTTTACGTTCTCTTAAGGTTCTTTAGTGGATATATAAACTAGAAATATGGTCAATTATTTCTGAGAATCTTCATCCAGCTTCACCTGCTGATAAGCGTGAAATAAATCAGTCTGACTAAATACTTGTCCCCCATTCTTGTCCCCAGAGCCCTTTGTTTCTTGGTCACGTGGTCTTGAAACGAGGGGATCTGGAAGCAGCCATTATCGGATGTCAGAAAATTTACTTCCTGAGCTATCCCCTAGAGAGTGGCATCTTTGGAATGTTTGAAAATATAAACGACTCACCCTTAGCTCACTCAACTTGGATCCACGGATCATTTAGAGTTAAAAAAGCACATCAACAAGGATTCTTACAGATATTTTGAAGAAAAATGTTGAAAATTCTGAACTTAAGCGAAATTTAGGCTCTAAACGTTTGAGAGAGTGGACTTCGCGATCGATACGATCCAAAATAAACATGTCAAAAATCCTCGATTGCTAACGTAATTCTACTACTACTTCTTCTTCTACTACTACCACTACCACTACCACTACCACTACCACTACTACTACTATACAGAATAATAGTAACTACATCCGTCATACTAGCAAAAACCTAACGACTTACATAATGTTTCTCATAAATCATTTACTATTTACATTATGCACCTAAAAATGTTAAAACTATAAGATCTTAAAAACTATAAATACTACGCGTAACCATAGCTATGAAACCTTATCAAGAGAACTGATGTGGTTAAAATTGGGCGCTTGCTGCCCCTACTCTTTTAATTGCAGAACAATTATTTTTGAATGCATTTAGGTCTGGACATCGCCTTACATTTGCCGGTAGGGCATTGAATAAAGTAGCAAGTTCTGGAAAGTGCCCTTAACTAAACAAATTTCTATTAGAGGTGCATTACTAGAGCGCAGTGAACGCCGGTTGGGGATTGTGCCTTGGCAGTTGCAAGTATTCAATCCAAACTTCACTAAAAAGAGCTCGATGTCCAAGCTTAAGAATGTTTAATTGAGTGTTTTCTAGCGTAGGTAGCCAGCCGAGCTCATTGACGTCGCTTTCTGAGAAAAACCGATTCGAGACAAAACCAGCAGTAGCATTCTGAACGTGTTGCACTCTTTTCTGCAGCAGTGCGGGAAGTGGATTACTGATGGAGTCATTTAAGGTAAGTTTGGATAGCATGAGGCCTTGAACAAAGAGTCTGTCTTATTCTTGATCTTTCTCAGAGTGGCTAGCACTTTATGTAGCATGATAATCTTACCACATCTATATGTTCTGTCTATTTAAGGTCCTCACTAAGCCAAGTTCATAACAACTTAAATTTCTCTTTCCTGTCAACTGTCTTATCTTTCAAGGTGAGAAGTGGAGTGTATCCGTCAAGATTATGCTCTTTAGATATCTGCTTGGTGGTAGTAATCATCTGTTAGGTCTTGGTCTCATTCATTAGCTGGTTACTATACAGGTTACTACCACGATTCGATGCTGCTGAGGGCCTTTTTCATCTTCTTTCTTCTGTGTCAACACAGACATCGTAGTCTTTGGGAGTGGCGTAATGGTGCACCGTTGTGTCGTCGGCGTACTGAAAGCAGGAAGAGCCATCGTGTCAGCAATCTTGCATGTCACTGGCGTAAAGGTTGAGAACAGGTCCACGAATTGAGCCCTGTGAACTCCCAATGGGGCGTTTGCAAGACTAGATTGCCTGTCATTGACTTGTGAAAACTGTCGACGCTTAGTCAAGTAGTTCAAGAACCACAGAAGAGCTGCCTTGAACATTCCAATTCCAATTTCAATAGCCCCGGGCTATCGGACACGACTTTCTTTGCACACTCCTTTGTGCACCGCCATCAGTGATCAAAAGAAATAAAGGCTTATAACAGAAAATTATCTTGACCTTAGTATAGCAAAGGCGATGTACTTTAAGCAGAAAATACAATAATTACTAGCACATTGTAAAAAACGTAACGTACATATCATTTTTGTAATGTAGTCGGTTCTTGTAGTCGGATCTTGACTTCTTTTCCTGCAGCAGGACTGACGAAGATCCAGACGAATAAGACAGAGTGATTAGACTTAATAACACCACACAAGTGTGGATTCTTCGATGTTTATCTTTTAATATATGTGACCAAGGGCTCACTAATCATTTCTCCTCCTTTCACTTTCTCCGGATGTGACAGTCGACACAGAGGCAAAGTTTGGGGCAGAACGAAGGCAATACCTTCTTTACCAAGAGTAGTAGGGGAGGGACCGGTTACTCCGTTTTTTTGCGCAGGAATCTCATTAGCGTGCGCAAGAATACATTAACTAGGTGACGTCATAGGCTATTGTCTTGATCTCATGAATAAAATGCGCAGGAATCTCATTAACTTGCGGTGGAATCTCATTAATTATATCCAGTTTGACGGGTTTATCAATGATGTCATGTTCTATTTTTATCTTGTAGCGGTCCTGGTTGGTATAACCGGTTTGACCGGTTTTAGTTATTTTCGGAAGATGATGTCATATGTATTCCGGGGTACTATGATGTCATAGTTGTTTTGATTGGTTGACTGGAATTAGAAAGACGCTCATTGGCTGTCTCGTTTGACGAAGCATTCTGGTTGGTTGCCGTATTTTTTATTGTTTGAACGGCATAAAAGCCTGCTCACTGCCTTCCTTAATTAAATCCGCAAAGAACCGGCGTAAAACATCCCTCCTGCACTACTGTGCTTAGTGAAGAACTTGCGAGGATTTCAAATGCATTAAATCTTCGATTTCAATTGCCGGTTCGTGTTTTACCTTTTCTTTTTCTTTGCCATTTAGTATCTCGTTTGATCTTTTGAGCCTTGGCCTGATAGAGAGCTTCAGGCCTTTGTTAAGTGGCCGTGCATTCAAGTACCTTTCAATGGCGTGCAGAAAACAAAAGAGTGTAGATTTACTGTAGCAGTCTGATTTGCCTCTAGCCCCTGTAAAGTCGTCGCAAAATTACATCTGGTTGGCCGGACGATATTTGTTCCAGCTGTGTGTGTATTTTTTTCTCCTTACACCAAGCATAATTTCGAAAAAAAGAGGTAATGCGATTCAATTTAGGGACAAAGTGTGTCTAACTTAATATTGTTTCGTAGCGTAATTTGTCACATTTAGATTTTGGGTTAAGAATCGCATTGCCTTGATGTACTTTTTTTCGCTAGACCGAACAAATAAAAAACAAAGCAAAATAAAAACGGAAATTGTGTCTTTAAATGTTATTAATGACCAATTTGTGACTTTATATTTGTTCCGTTAGAATGCCTTTGTTCTAAAATTTACTGAAGCTTGTTGTCTGACAATTTTGGGAAACGCGTTAGTTGCTTATTTTCTTTGCTTGTTAGTTCACCTAACAGGTCATGCCAAGAAAGAAATTTGGCAGTTCTTCGTTGGTTTCTTCAATCGGTAAAATTAGCTAAGGAAACTGTAGTTAAAGGGGATGACAACTCTGACTCTTCAAAAAAAGTACATAATGCTCATGCCATCTTATTTTCGTACGGGCGTGCGTATATAAAGATTTCTTTTCATAGCGTCTCAATAGGACTTCCAGGGCATGAACGCGCGCTATGCTATATCACAGCTTTGGTTTATTTTTGTGCTCTGTTCTTTTTCAACTTAAAACCCTCAAAAAAGGTAAATACTGGTACGAGCCACCCTGAGACGTGCTGCAGGGGTGAAAATAGAATTTTTCCCCTTGTATAACAAAGACAAGTGTGACTCATGCCTATGGTCGCTTTTACTGGATCAACCACTGTTAAGTTCAATTTACAATATATTTATACTTGTTCTTCAAAATGTAATTTTAAATATTCTTGTAGTTGTTTTACGTATCAATTTTTTTATTCGTTTCTATTTTCAGTCGAACCAGAGAATGTACAATTGTCAACAAATATCACTGTAAACAAAACCTGCCCTGGTAGTCATTGGAATTTCACTTGTTTAGTTGGTGCTGCTAATCCAGAAGTCACATCCTATCAGTTGCTTGAAAATGACATTGCTGTGGACACAGGCAGTTCAGGAATGTGGATCAGAAAACTGTCAAACAGTGGAGAATTTATCTACAAATGCCTGGCAAACAACACAGTCGGCCCTAAAATAAGTTCAAATGAAAAGAACATTACTATTGCAGGTAATAATTTTACCACTATATTTTAATTTCTCCATAGGACGTTACTGTATGTTCTGTTTGTATGCCATACAATTTCCCTTTTAAGAGTGGCAGAAAGTGTGAAATTCAACAATTTTAAGTTTCCCACCCCTTAAGCCCCCTATGCTGACATCCTTTCGACTCCTCACCCAATCGTCAAAAGGACATCTGCTTAGGAACCTACCACCCCGCATAGACCTATGCAAATGCCTCCGAGGTTTGGAGGATGGGTGGGCACGCTTATTGACGAACTGAATAAGCCATACTTTCTCAAGCCTATCAGATTCCGGTGAATGGCTTAGAATGAGATAAATGTTCCACTTTTACCGTACGCTTGGCTAAATCTATTTAGTATATACTAAAACAGTGGATAGTGTTTTCCGGCGCTGTGATTGGCTACTCAATCAGTGAATATCCTGCACTATTCACTGATTTACCTCCAGTTCCTCCGAGCGAGCGACGCCAAACTCGCGTAGGTTGCGAGCAAAATGCTTTCCCGGTTTGTTGCCGTAAAAAAACTAAGAAATTTCACAACTAATCAGGCAAGCTATTTCCGAAATACATGAAGAAGGTGACGAAGTTCGGTTTGGAAGTTTTAACAGGTAAAGCTTTGTCTTTTTGACTTGAATAGTTATCGATAAAACCGGTGAAAACGTTTTGTGTTTACAAATGCAAATTAAGCTTAAGTCTTGCGTTACTTTATTTAGTTGACTTGTTCATAAATAAGTTTAAAACTAAATTTAATAATCTTTTTTACAGAATTATTTTAAATACAACAGAATTCACAACTCCTTTTGAAGAAACTTCCCCGCAAGAGCTAAACAAACGCCTTCAAAAGTTTTATTCGTCGCTAAGAAAAAGCGACGACCGCGGCCGTTTGGTCATCGCGTGCCAAAATTGTAATCGTTGGCAACAGTAAATGAGTAAAAAATCATCATTTTGTGCTCAATTATCTCACTGTTTTAGTATATACTAAAAGAATTATTCACCTCAGTGTCGGTGGCTAGTAGTGGGTATTTACCTCGCCGCCTCGCGGCCTCGGTAAACATCTAATACTAGCCACCTCCACTTCGGTGAATAATTGTTATGTATTCATCAATAATTGAATAAGGCTGAATATGATGTGAAGAATTAATTGAACACATTTCTAAGTTCTTAACAAACATACCTCCTCGCAGTATCCTTTAAAACTTTGCCCTATTTCTAGTCACGGTTTCAGGATGTAATCAGGTATTTTTTCCTTGCAGATACTCCTCAAAACGTAGATAACATTCGTCGCGCAGTTCGGTTTAATTTTAGTCAGAAATTAAGCTGTCGTTTTTTTATATACGTGAACGTCATTGTTTAGTTAACTCGTTAAAAGACAGCTTGGCGGCTGCGCCTTGAAATGAGGTTGATCGATAGTCTATTGCCCAAGCAGCCTCCAAATCTTGCCAGTGCCATTTGTTTATGACGAATTAGCCGAGGGATTTCATCCAGTTAGAAACGGCGAAATATTTGGACTGAATAATAATACTAGTTATGCAATGCTCTCTAGTGCTTTACTATAAAATATCCCACGAGTGACTTGATTTCCGTCATCATACATACAACGTCTCGTCGAGTGAGTATGCAAAAAAAATATCACATTGCGAGTAAGGGCCTAAAAGCTCCCCGGCACTTTTTCTCTTTCTTCCCGCCACCCCCTTGCTTTGGACATATCATCCCGATAACATAACAACCTTAACATAACAGTCAGAGAGTAACGACAGAATATTTATAAGCTTGTTTTTTTTTTTTACACTTAACGATGCGACGAGGCCATACTTCATCTCGATTCCTGAAAAGTTAAATAATGCGTAAGTGACATAAAATTACGTTAGAATTGAAAATAAAAATCAAACAGACAAAATTCAGTAATTACTAGGCTCACCTGAGATGCTGCCCCTGAAGGCCGCTTAGTGGAGTCAGAGACGCACCAGGTTTCCCCTGCACTCCGCTTTTAAAGCGCCCGCCTGAATGAACTTTCAGAACCGCAGATATCGATAAATCCCGTTGAATTCATGCGACGCTTTCCTTAATCTCCTACGCAGGCGTTTTTAGCGTGGAAGGTTACGCTTTCCTAAAAAACAAAAAAAAGACTTCTAAACTGGTTAGCTTTTCGATTCTCTTCGCCGAGACAAACGCAAGGTGCATGTCCAAGACTGCCTTTCCCTCCCTTGTAGAGTTTCCCATCGCCCTCCCTTAGAGAATTTACGGTCAGGCGGACGAGCATACGCTGACGTCATGCATCCGTGGGGCTACGTGCGGAAGCTCAGTGTAGCTGATGTGCTTTATGCTTTTACTTTGACCTTGCTTAGCTTGTTTGCAGGAGATGAGACCAGCATTAGATGGTTAAGTAGTGCGGCCATATCTTTTGCTTATTTATATCATCTTAGTATTCTTTCAGTTTGTGTAGATTGTGTGCGGGCGCCCAATTTTAATATGCACGCGTTTTATTTACTTATTTAGTTCGTTTATTTTAAAACACTTTAAATTTTCCTTGGGCTGTTTTCCTACTTATATGCCTTGTCAGTGACTGTGTTCATATTAGGGGTGGCTCCTCCTAAAATATTCTACCACCAGATTTAATGGATCCAGCCGAAACCAATTGTAAATTGCACTTTAGGCATTCAACTTATTAACGGTCACGACGAATAGATATTTCGAGTAACAACAACTTGCTGTAAGTCTGCTTTTAATTTTAGATCCTGCATATGTTGTCAGAATTGTCCACTCTTCAGACACAGTAATTGAAGGTAATTCTTTCAACGTGACATGTCAGGCCTCTGGTGTTCCAAAGCTAACTGTTTATTGGATTAAAGAAGACACTGATCAGCGCATTAATGGCAGCGTACTAAACTTCACCAGCATCAATAGAAATGACAGCGGAACATACAGATGTGACGCAGAAAATGACTGTGGGCATGACAGCGTGATCGAAGTTATCAACGTATCCTGTAAGTACGAAAATACACATGATCCGACCGAGTATCATAACCCACCAAAAAAATACTTTTTAAGTGTCTCCATAAAATTAAAATTCATTGTACATTAGTATTGAAAAAAATTACCGAGGATAAGCTGTGTAAGGACATAGGAATTAAAACATGAGTGCTTTGTGTGAATAGAAAACAAAGGAAACGGCATTCTCATACATTACAGTAACGTTAGGAGAGAATGACTTATACGGACTCCAAAGCGACATACCTTAGTGCTCTATTAAGGGAGCTCTCAGGAAAAAAGAAAGAACGTCACCAACACATGTTTTATATATATAACCTTATATAAGAGTTTTCCGTGACACAGAAAAATGTTCGCTGACCGTATTAACTTGTACCCATATTAAGAGGGATTATTTTAAAGAAAACATAATGAGCTTTTCATCTGGTAAAAAGAAAGTGTCCGTTATTATTGTAATAATATTTTAGCACAAATCATGAGACTCAGTCAGTGGAGTAAAGTTCATACGGTGGCAGTGTAGTTTTTTAAGTCAAAGTGATAATATTGTCACTAGACCCTAACCGTGTATAACTTCGTTAGTGTTGTTGAACAAGTGAAGAGATTAAGGCTCTAACAATAAATGGTAGCCGTAGAGTCTTGATAAGAATTGTGTAAAATAGCTAGACCGGTTATGGAAATCTAAGAGGTTTCCTTCTTAAGTTGCGTTAACAATTAGTTGCTCTTGGGATTGCGAGCAAAAGAAAGTGTGACTTTGTGGCTGGAAAAGGTCCCTTTTTATTAGCAAAGAAGGGACGCGTTGTTAGAGAAAGTAAGCAATTAGAAGTGTAGCATTTCGATCCGATACGCTCGAATTTGCGTGTTCCTTAGCGGTAACCAATAGACGCTAAATGAGCGCAAATCACGTTTGGTGAGCAATATTCACGCGTAGAGCGGGGGATTTTTTAGTTCAGAAATAGTGTTAGTGTAAAAGTATTTCTAACGTTGAAGTCAACAAAGACGCCGCGCAAAGAAAGATAGGCTCAGTCTCCAGCCTTGGATGCCTCGATGCGCTCGCGGTACTCCCAACCCGAGGGCTGGAGGCAGGGGCTAAGTTTTTTGTACACAGGAGAGAGTCATAAACTCGTCAGCGCGGCTGTTCGATGTGTCTGACCATCGTGACGTCACAGCAAAGTGAAGCGTACGACGAGCAGAATTTTCGAAAATGGCGGTGTCTTTGTTTTTCGTGCGAAGACTTGAGCTTATTTTTTCCCTTGAATAAAGGACCAATGTGTGAAACTTGCAGCTTGGACCCAAAATAGTTTACATCTCACTGAATCGTTCTTGTGTAACTCAGCTTTTTTGTCAGTCCTACACACAGTCGGTCAGTCCTTGGATAATTACATTCAGTCAGATATGATTTACCTGGACTTTGCTAAGGCCTTTGACACTGTCGATCACAGCGCTCTTCTGACAAAGCTGAGGCTTTACGGTGTAAAAGATCAACTGTTCCGTCCGTTCAAGGACTACCTAACTGAGCGCACACAAAGGGTGGTTCTTGAGAATGCGGCTTCCCATTGGTCTCCTGTAACCTCTGGCGTTCCGCAGGGGAGCATTTTAGGCCCCCTGTTGTTAACTTTTTTCATAAATGACCTGCCGGACGAAGCTGCTTACGGCGTGAAGGTTGCACTCTACGCCGACGACACCAAACTATACCGAAATGTTTCGTCTGCATAACACTGTGACCTCATACAAGACACTCTCTAATTTGCACGTCTGGTCGCAGCGCAATAATATTAGATTTTACACGTCCAAATGTAAAGTACTAACCGTGACTAGGAAAACGACTCCGATTGCTTTTGACTACACCCTTGATGGCACAGCCCTGACACGCGTTTCAGAAGAAAATCATCTTGGCGTCATCATAACTAGGACGCTCTCTTGGGACTCACACATCCACACTATCACTGCGAAAGCAGATAAGCTTCTTGGTTTGCTTAAACGGACTTGTCCCCTCCTTATAGGCGTCTCTGTTAGGCGCTCACTTTATTTGTCTTTGGTCAAGTCACAGCTGTGTTACGCCACCCAAGTCTGGTCACCCGCTTACGTTACTCTGAATGCTAAGGTGAAACAGGTGCAGAGACGTGCAAGCAGGTGGATTTTACGCACGCTTAGAGACGAGTCGTCGTACAAAGAGCGGCTGACTTTGCTATACTTACTTCCACTTTCTCTAGATCGTGAACTTAAAGATTTGATCTTTTTAGTAAGAACAATTACAACACGGACTTTGTTAGACGGAACACTCACAGTAACACTGATTCCAACACTCAGACCAACTCTGGCCCTGTTACGACAGCGACTATACCGTACGTTAGAGGCACCTCTGAAACTATTGCACGTATGTTACAACCTTACAATATACGTGTTGCACTCAAACCGATAACCACTTTAAGGCAACTGCTTACTAATGTCAAGGACAAAGACAAACCGGAGGACAGACGGGGAGCAGTATACAAGATCAAATTCTGCGACTGCCAGGCTTCTCACATTGGTGAAACCGGCAGAAACCACCCGACTGACCGAACACAAACGCGCGACGAGGAATCGTGACGTCAACAATCACATTGCTGAGCACCATTTAAAGACGAAACATCAAATTGACTGGGACTCTGCGACATGTATAACGTATTGAACAGACTACTATCAACGTCGTACTTTAGAAAGCTGGCTTACTAACTTAGAACAAACTCCAGTGAATCGTAGCCAACAGTTACCAGCGCCGTGCAAAAGACTTATTGACGAGATCAAGCAAAACTAACTACGAGAGAACGACTGGAGAACTGACAATTTGACTGACAATAGACGACTGTTTAACTGTGACAATAGAGACCTTAAGATTTGAGGACAGCGTCTTCTTCTAGGACGTCACGGCATATAAAGGCCTGGGGCGAGAACGCCGTTCTTTGCGCGGGAACTTAGACTTAAGAAAAGATAAACAAGACGCAAACTTTCTCCAGCGCGTTGGTCGAGAATGGTGTCCTTCAGGAAAGCGCGGGACGAGCTTCTTGTAAGTTTTTGCGAGGAAATCATCAATGAGGATGAGTTTCTCTTGTTGTATGATGTTAACAAGTCGAAAAATCCAGAGTATCTTTATTGGAATAATGACAGATTTACGTTGCAAGACAAAAGTGAGGCTGAGTGGAAGACACATTTTCGTTTCGAAAAATACGACATTCCTCTCTTGGTTGATGTTCTTGGCTTACCTGACGAAAGAAAGTGTAAACAAGGAACAATCTGTAACAGTACTGAAGGATTATGCATCGTTCTCAAGCGGTTGGCATACCCTTGTCGCTTCAGCGACCTCAGAAGCATTTTCGGCAGACCTGTCCATGAAATCTCCATGATAAGTAATACAGTCATTGCTTTGATATTTGAGCATCATGGTCGTCGGATACCAGAGTGGAATCACACTATTTTAAATCACCATGCACTACAGACATATGCTGAAGCTGTTTCAGATAACGGTGCGGCGCTCGAAATTGCTTCGGCTTTGTGGATGGTACAGTTCGTCCAATTTGTCGCCCAAACACCAATCAAAGAATTGTTTGCAATGGGCACAATAGGGTGCATGGACTAATTGCCAATCCTTACGGTCCTGTTGGTAAGTGTGTTTATGTATAGATGTATAGCTGTATCGTTCAATTTTATTTATATTTATAAACAATCAGTTATATAAAGAAGCTTTAGCAGTGGTCTCTACTGTTATGACTCTGCAGGAAAACCTACTGGAGACCTGGATCACAGTACGTCTTTTACATACTTCTCATTTGTTGTCATATACAATCAGTAAACAGTAAAATAGCAAACATGTGAGGACCACAATGAAACAGGCAGGAATCCCATAACACGGGGTCATCTTTTGTAGCCAAACAGTACAACAGTAAAGATAAAAAGAATGGCTGGTTTTATCAACAATTATTAATAATTTTCACCCCCTAATTGTACAAACCTTTACTATTTCCAGAGGGCAGAAAGCATGACGCCGGAATGCTACGAAACTCAGGACTGTACCATGATCTCCAAAGATTTGCTTTCTCCCCAACTGGGCAGCCTTTGTGTATATGTAGAGACCCGGCATATCCTCTTCGCATACACCTGCAAGCTCCATTTCGGAATGGAATCTTGACTCCCCCAATGCAGCAGTTTAACAGTTCCATGAGCCTAGTGAGAAGCTCAGTGGAGTGGTTGTTTGAGGACATCATTAATTATTTTTTTTCTTTCTCGATTTTAAGAAAAACTTAAAAATAGGGCTCAGCCAAATAGGTAAAATGAACATTGTTTGTGCCCTTTTAAGGAATGCCTTTACATGCCTTTATGGTAATACTACTTCCCAGTATTTTGATTTGGACCCACCCACGTTGCAAGAATACTTTGCTTAATTTAATCATTGAAGAAATATGACACAAAATTTTATTTATTCAACACAACTTCAGTATGTAAACTTAAGGCACAACATGATTGAATAAAGAATAAAATGGCTGTTCAAGTTTGATAAACCTCACCATTAAAAGGAGTTTTCCTTAACAATACAATGAATTAATGTAACTCATAATATTATGGCATAATGTGTAAACAATGGAAAATACTCCTGAGTACAGGGATCTAACTTTTTTTGTTCATAAGTCTGTCAACAACAGCCGTGAGCATCTGAGATTGTTGCTGCTGTTGGTGGTGCATTAGCTACCATCATAGATTTCTGTTGATCAAGATAAGAAGCCAGCTTCTTCTCCTCCAATTCTTCCTGCTTTCGTCGTATTTCTAACTTTTCTTCTCCCAATGCCTTCTCGCTTTCAGCTTTCTCTCCCAGAAATGAGATTGTTTCATTGCCACTCCTTCTCTTTTTCTTGATATGGTTTTCCTGTTCTCCTTCCTCAACTACGGTCAGCAGAATATGTCCCGTAAGTCCTTTTCTTCATTTTTGGCGTGGGTTTGGCTATTTTGCCCTGATTAAGGCTTTTTTTGCGTGGGTTTGGCCTTTTTGACCTTCTCTTTAACCTGACTATTTACGAAATAGGTGTCATATGTGTTCACTTATCGAACTGATGGTTTACCAGAGTTTTTAGAGACTGTCCGATTTCAGGTTGTGGGGCAAAGTACCTTGTCATCTTACCTGACCATCTCGCAGATGATCATCAGTTAGACTACATACAGCGAAGACAGGATTTACAAGAGGCAAAACTGCAACCTTAAGTTAAAGTCGTCGTTAAAGAGCGTAAAGCAGATAATTTAAGAAAAAACATAGTACAACCACTTGCTGTTGCTCCAGTGGTGAGATATGAGATGACACGAATTCACGTACTGATGTTTATTTCTTTTCTTGACCTTTTTTCCATAAACACTGTGAGAACTAAAATAAAGGTAAGAGTATTTTACAAATAAGGTTGTGAAATTACGGAAATATATACATTTCATCCGTTGAAAGTAACAAGACAGAAAGGTAAAAACTTAAGATTAAAAAACAACGGTAAATGATGTCGTGTGTAAACTTAACTTCGTCTAAAATCTAAAATCTTGATTTTACAATGCAATCAGCGATAAAATCGGTTAAAGGATAAAACTGCAAAGCGCTTACTTAAATAAGGAAATGTAGCGTAAATATTTACCTTGGTGATATCCTTAAAATCACTAGAACAAGGAAAACTTCTTGGCTTCTTGAAATCGATTGATAAAAAACTTGCGTCAACTAACCGCAAACACAAAAAAACTTAACCTTTTAATAACAAAATTGCGTGACGCTTTCGCGTGTGCCCTAGCTTGCGTTAGAAAGAACTTTCTAATTAAATCTAGAAATTGCGTTAGCGTGCGCGTGAGGAAAACAAAGATTTCGGATAAAAAATAAGTGGATTAAACGAGGGGCTAATTGCGGTAGCTACACTCCCACTAAATTATTTATGATTCTAAAAGGGACGTAACAATCATGAATAATTTTACTCTGCACATCAAGCATTGTCATTGGAACTTGTCTTAGACCACGCCTTCCAACAGGAACACCACCTTTTGCACTGGTCTTTCGATGATGAGAATTTGTGTCGTGATGATGAGAATTTGTGTCGTTTCCCTTCTTCTGAGGATTTCTGGATCCAAGCTTTATCTTCACAGAACGAACGAGACCTTGTTGATCTGCTGAAGTATTCATTACCTTGCCATGGGGCCACTGGTTCCGTGGAACCAGTTTCTTGAACAATTACGATGTCACCGATTTTCAGATTTCTCTTCGGCTGAAACCATTTTTGTCTCGAATTCAAGTTGGTGAGGTACTTCTTTCGCCACCTACTCCAAAATTGTTTTGCCAGAAGCTGTACCTTTCGCCATTGTTTCCGGGCGTAAATTTCTTCCTTGACAAAATTTCCTGGAGGTGGAAGAAGTGTCTTGTTCTTCATGGTCAGTAGATGATTTGGCGTTAGAGGCTCCAAACTCTTTGGATCGTTCAGGCATTGATAGGTCAATGGTAGGCTGTTGATTATAGCCATGACTTCGTACAAGAAAGTGCGCGGTGAGGACGTGTCGAGTCTTCTCTTGTAGTCGTTGAGAACGGAGTTAAGAATGCTTCTTGTAGTCCTAATCTGCCTTTCCCATATTCCTCCTCTGTTACTGGAATACGGGACATTCATAACGAATTCACAATGATTGGTTGTCAAATATGATTGGATCTTGTCGTTATCCAACTCCTTCATGGCCTTTGCGAGTTCGTTCCTTGCTCCTACAAAGTTTGAGCCTTGGTCGGACCTTAGCTATTGGATGGGTCCTCGAATTGCTGTGAAGCATCTTCAGGCGTTGATGAAGGTATCGGTTGTCATGTCATCTAACCGCTCTATGTGCACTGCTCGAGGACTCATGCAGGTGAATATCACTGCTTATCTCTTCAGTTCCTTTCTTCTTTCCTTAACTGTGAACGGCCCAAAGCAATCCATGCCACAGTATATAAAGGGTGGAGTAGATTCCACTCTATCTTCTGGCCTTCTGTTGGTCTTCTCTGTCGTCTGCATTGTACGCATTTATAAATGTGTGAGGCTACTGCAGCATTGAGGCCTAGTATCCATTTTCCATAGCAAAGGATTTCTTTCATTCC